CCCCAAAACCCCAAAACCCCAAAACCCCAAAACCCCTGAATACCAAATTAATATTGATATATTTTATACCTCATAATGAAAAAGGTTGATGAAGCAATAATTCAGAAAGAGAATAATCTGAACAAAGTTAAGTACTACCAAATGAAGGTATTTTATGCAAAACACTTAGGCTGTACGAAATAAATAAAAAATTAGACGAACTCGCTATGATAAATGAGCTCCAACTGTTTAAAGGATCTAAGAACATAGTTAATTACAACAACACACAAAAGATGCAAAAGAACAAGTAAGTTTACAGGAAGAGAGGTTCCAGAGTTTTTATATACAAATTTCCCTTATATATTAGAGTTGAGGCTTAAGAAGCTTGAGGTGGAAAATTGTGAATATAGAACGGTGTTTAATATCATCAAAAGACACAAATAAAGAAGTTGCTCAGAGATCTTATGACAAAATTAAAAGAACAATGAAAATTGTAGGTATAGAAGTAGAACTTGATGAGCATAACAGAGTTATTCTAAGCAAATCTAAGAGCCAAAGATGAATAAAGTATTTTCAGTTGATTATAGTTTAGATCGAAGAAGTCACACAAGCTTCATTCCATACTTGACCTCATTTCAGATAAACATAAAGGTAAATAATTTCTGTAATTTTAGAAAATAAAGATGGCATTATTGATGATCTCAAATTGTTTGTATTCAATAAAACAGGTACTCAAATCTTTCAAGAGCTTTAGTATGGAATTCATCAGAGAAGTTAGAAAGAATGAAAATTGAAACAAAATAGATCTACTAAGATGGAGTAAGTGTGAATATAATATTCTAGGAAAATACAATCTCTCCCTCTTGGAAAGTTTCGAAACCCAAACATTCATCACAAAAGCCAAAACGAATATATCTCAAACTATCGTAAAACACGGTAACCCCACCATCCTCCCTAACATAAAGTGACACTGTCAAAGAAAGGATGCTTCTATGTAAAGAGATCAATAAAATAGTAAAACGCAAATAAAAACCCCGCTCGAAACATCAATGTTCTAACCCACGGCCTGCTTCCCCCACCTAGTCACCTAAAGTACACCCAAACCACCACTCCTTCAGCTTCAAAATCCAAGTATCTCCAAAAGGTCCAGTAAGGTCTCCCAGTCTCTCTATTTTTAAGTTGAGTTTTATGCTCTTGAGAGTTAAATTTTATCGTTACTAATTATTATAGCTTTAAGCAACCAACTCACAACACAATAAAGACCACGAAATTGAGAAGTTGGTTAAAATCAATTAAAATATTGAGAGCTTCGCACAAAGAAACCTTTATCCGAGTTAAGTCCTTATCAATCAACATTTAAAAGATTCAATCCTGATGCTGTCTTGAGGGGTTTTGGGGTTTTGGGGTTTTGGGGTTTTGGGG